TGAATGGCTGGTTTTGCCTTATAATGGAAGCCTTATAAACAACTGTTATAAACAAACATATTAATTATTAAACTTGGTAGAGGATTTTGAGACACTAAAAGTGTTCCTCGTTACTGCTGGGTTTATGTAGGCTAAGTTAGGCGATCGAATGTCAGTCAGTCGCAACCTAGAAAAACGTCTTTATTTACAAAAAAAAGTATTAAAAAATTGCTTTTTTACGAATATATTTTAAATCATATAAACATAAAAATATTGTTTTATTAAGACAATTGTCAGAGCATATTTACACAACAAATTTTTCAAAGCAATTTTAAAATATTTATGTTGATACATCTAAAAGCTGAATTTTCCAATCTGGGATACGCGTTCCCCTAGAAGTGCTTCGCCTATCCCTAGAGAGTGATGGTCTGATGGCCTAGCGGTTAAAGTGGCAGCTTATCTCACTGATCGAATCCGGAGGGGTCAATTTTTGGGTGTGCTCGTCCCTCATACCATCGCCTGTCCCATTGTGGAACTGGTGGAACCCATAATGGACTTGCTAAAAACGACTCTCTAAAGTGCCTAAGGACAAACAGAGTTACAAAGAAAAAAAATCGCCAGGGAGATACGCGAAAAGAAATCTATATTGGCTGCCAAATGCAATTTTAAATTAGCCATTTTTTTTTTAAATTTATGCTTAGGCGATTCCAAATCTGTCTTTAAAAGCTACAAGTATAAGATATTTTTATGAATATTACTATATTTTATACATTTCTGAAAGTCTGGATTCAATTATTTAAATTTAATTTAGTTTTATCGATTGACCTCGCGTCTATATTGTTAAAGTAAGTGTTGTAATACTTTAAAATACGTATTAACAATTAAAGAATTAATGAAAATGCAGCAATTATTCAAATGATTTATTCCCAACAGTGGTTTATTAATTAGTAGAATATTTTCCCAGTCAGAAACATAAAATTTTCCATTTTCACTTGGTCTAGAAAAGGATTAGAACAAAGATCTGAAGCTTCATTTCTTTGCTCCAACTGATTAATTTTTTCAATTTTTAAAATTCAAAAGAAAACATTGTATAATTAATTAAATAACATTCTCTTTTAGGAATTATAATATAATACAGTAAACACTCGATTTAACGACTAATTGAGAAAGTCTGCTATTGTCGAAAGTCCGTTAAATCGAATGTATTTGAAAAATAAAAACATATATTAATTCCTTTGGGAAGAAAATTATTGTCTGTTAAATCCAGGGTTTACTGTATTACGAAGTTCTGAATTCATGAAAGAAACTGTTATCGCACACTAGTACAGCACTATGTTACATTTCGTGCCAACATGGTAGATATTTGACATTCAAATTATAATTTTCCATAAAAATTTCAAGGAATTGGCTTAAAACACATGTTGAATCTCTGTATAGTGTCTTCCTAAGTACTCTACTCACGTAAAGCGCTAAACCAAACTTGTGAACGAATCTTTCTCATCAATACTAAATGGAGAACGCTTCGTGAACGATTTTGCATTATCAATGACAATGCAAAATCGTTCATGACAATGCTATCATTTGTTCATCTCGAAACTGACATTAAACCGAATTTGGCGTTTAACTGAAGAATTTTAAACAGTAAGAATTGTATAATTATATTAATGACATTTACACACAAGTTTGAGTGAAAGTTACATAACTTTCAAACTCTCAAACTTGTGTGTTAATGTCATTAATATATTTATACAACTTTTACTGTTTAAGATTCTTCAGTTAAACGCCAAATTCGGCTTAATGTCAGTTTCGAGACAATGATAGCGCTAAATCGAAGTTTCACTGTATATATTTCCATTTTTGTGTTGAAGATAAATTTAATATTCTTTATATATTACATAATAAAAATATAAACAAGAGAAAAATTTAGAGTGTAGAATATTTTCGAGGTAACCTTTTCTTTAAACATGTACATAAATTTATTATGTTAGTAAACTTTAGAAGATATTAAAAAGAAAATTAGATGTAAACTCATATATCAAAATTCATCCAATCTTAAAAATATATAGAATAATAAATTATCTTTTAAAAAAAAGCGAATAAAGTCAACGTAACGCTGTATCTGCTATATTTTATGTCTTTTTTCCCCCTCCTTAAATTTAATTGCTGCAAACCATTTGAAGACATGCTACAAAAAGTATAAATAAATCGCTCCACTTGCCACATGTTGATTACTCTAGAAAGAAACAGCGCAGATATATTTATTTTGAACCAGGGAAAGAAACTTTGGCTTTTTCAAGTTTTAAAACATTTTTTCCTTTTTTTTCTAGACATATTTCTATTAAGCAATAGTGAATTTATTATACACTACTTAAAATATATAATATTAAACGTTTCATCATCAGGATGGAAATATTTTGTAGGCAAAATATAGATAAAATAGTTTCCATAAACTAGATTTTACTTACATTTTTTGCTATAGAAATCAAGTAAATACCCATTCTTTAAACGTTCTTGAGGAAAATTCATATTAAAATTATTTATTATACCAAACTTTAACAGAATTAATTGAGAAAAGCTCTTGAAAATTTATTAACTTTTAAATAATGCTAATAGTATTAAGAAATTCTTATTTTTTATTATATTTTTCTGGATTTTAATTATTAAATAAAATTTGCAATTGTATATACTTTATGTAGTTATAAAATCGATAGATTCCGTCACAAGTAAGTTTAATGCATTTATGACTGAATCTAATGATTGATGCTGGCAAACGGATAATAGTGAATAAATGATAATAATGAAGTATTGATAAATGGATATTAATTGCTTATCGTTATTTCAATCTGTAGGAAAATTTACTGTTTGGTAAAAATATTTTTGCACGCCACTTTGTTTTCTGTTAAAATAAATGTACTAAAATTGAATGGACGAAAAATTATATAGAAATGAAAACTTCATTTTAAAATATTTTCTCAAAATTAACATCATAGTAAGTTTCATTGAAAAATACGTCCTTCATTAATAAAATATTTTTTGTCCGTCTGTTTGTTACAGGATGAGAGAGAGAAAAAAATATAATTTACATATTTAAGAAATTTCTTTAATTCTCTTTAGACTAATAATTGTAATCAATATTATTTTTATGATAATTTAAACATGCATTTGTCAGCATCACTCATTAGAATCATTCACAGTAATGTTTCGTACAGATTGAAGTAATGATAGGCAATTAATATCCATTTATCAATACTTCAATATGCATAAAGATGCATTTAATTATGTTTAATGTAAACAGTAGACTATTAAAAAATCGTAGAAGTTATTTTATTTCGTGCCGACGTAAAATAATTTTTTTGATTAAATTAAATTGTTTTTGATACGTAACATAATTTATGAAGAATGTCGTAGCTGCACTTTTTAAATGAAGCTATATTTTTTTTATAATGTGGGATATATTAACACATTATTGCTTATTGACTATAACGTGTGTCGTAAAATGAGATACCGTATAATGGTAGGCTGAATCAAATTTTTAAATTTAATAATTTTCATTTGTAATATAGAACAATCGATATGGTGGCTTTATTTATTTTTTAACTTTTTTACAATCAAACCTTCACGGAAAAAACTGTTATTTTAGTAGAAAAGAGAGTATAATTTTTTACAAACTCAACATTACAGTACTACTAACATTAAACCTGCAAGGTTTATAATTGATATAAGTTTTAGTACTTGATTGGTTGCTGTTCTCTCTTTTGGTTGTATGTTGGTTGGAATTAAGCACAAATTTGCTACGGAGGTATAGGTCTATTGATATAGATCTATTTGATATAGGTTTATTTGTCGTTATGCATTATCTAATATGAATAACGACAAATAGAAGATATTGCTGGAATGATTTGATTAAGAGTAACAGTGATTTGATGTCATTTATACAGCTTTTACGCATATAGAAGTACTGATAAATGATATTAACTTCTTATCAGTATTTCAATATGCATGAAATTTTTACTAGTGGTAAAAGTATTTTCGCACATCGCTATATTTTTCTATTAGAATTAATGATTAATTAAAAACATAATTTCTTAAAATTTATAGAATAATTTTCTACAAACTCATTCTATAGTTTAATTTATTTGCGATTGAATCTAGAGATTCCCGTTAGCAAATGCTTGTTTAAATAGATATAAGAAAACGATATTACTGTAGTTTAAAATAGTCAAGAGGAAATTAAATAAATTTAAATATGTAAATTATATTTAAATTTTTCTCTTTCCGTGATTGATAAAATGACAAGAAAATATTTTATTAATATATATATTCTACAATTTAATTTATTAGAAATTAAATAGATATATATCTATTAATAAAATATTTTCTTGTTATTTTATCAATCACGGAAAGAGAAAAATTTAAATTTATTTAATTTCCTCTTGACTATTTTAAACTAATATCGTTTTCTTATATCTATTTAAACAAGCATTTGCTAACGGGAATCTTTAGATTCAATCGCAAATAAATTAAACTATAGAATCTATCGATTTTAAAATTTATATAAAAAATATTACACAAGTAAGTATAGTAGCAAAATTTATTCAATAATTAAGTTCTGAAAACTAATGATAAAAGATGTGGATTTCATGACATCTAAATTAATAACATAGCTCAAAAGTTAATAAATTTTCAAAAGATTTCTTCAATAAATTCTTTAAAAATTAGACATAATAAATAATTTTAATGTGATAAATTTTCTTTAAAAATATTTTTAAAATGGCTATTTAACTGAATAATTTAGATTATGTAATATAATAACTTTTAACTGATATGATAACGATTGTTTTTAATATACCTTAAATTTAAAAATGGACAATTTAACCTCATTTAAATTATATATTTTCTTTAACCCGGATATATATATATATATTTTTTTAATCATTCGACATTCGAATTTAGAATATCAAAATGTTTCGTTAAATTAAGCAACACAAAACAATTATTCTACTCCAATTAAATCCACTTACCTGAGCCTGAAGCATAGCACCTAAAGTATAAGTACCTCCTCCCGAATAGGAGATTTTAGGCAATTGTTTCTCCAGCAAAACACATTTGTGGTTATTTATGGACGGTTGAGTCAAATGGTCTAAGTGTTTTACCACTCGGTTTCTGGAGCTGAAAGTAATGACTGCTACACGAGTTTGGTTATAAGCCACGGTAAAATCGGCCAACAATTTTTTTACAAACTTCAACTCGTTGAAAAAGTTTTCGGCCCCCACCGATGCGGAACTGTCCACCAGAAACACCAACTCCACTTGTTTGTTGGTGGTTTTTCGTAGTGATGCCACGTGCCTCTTCAACACACTACCTAAAACGTCCACTTTAGATTTATCTCCCGGTGGGGATTTCACACGAGACTGTTTAAATCCGCGATTGAAGAATATCTCATACTCCCTTTCTGTTTCATTATGAAATTCGGTAGTGACGAGTGTACTCATCAATGCGATGAGTACGGGGATGAACGTCTGCATCCTAGCCATATCGGCAGCAGAATGTGGAGTAGAGAGTCGAGTGAAACCAACTATTGGGCCTCCAACCTTGAGTTATCCAATGTTTGCTTTGGTTTTCAAGTGTTGTGTTATGCGCAACAACTAACCTACTGTAATGCGTTATTAAACTCTACGTAATTAGGACTATCAATCATTAGGCGAGTGTGTTAAAGTGTCTTATGTCCAATATCGGATAGTATTTCACTTTCTTTTCCTCTTTTTCTATTTTATTATAGTATATACATCAAAGAGAACCAGCAAATGAATGAATGTTGATATCATTCCACTTGCCAATTTTTATTTTTGCGGTTATGTGATTGTAAGTGGCTTTCACTCAACTTTGTTTTTCTTTAAGAATCAGCATCTTACATGCAAAGTTAAAATGTGTTTCGAATAAAAATAACATATGACAAATACATTTATTTTAAGTAATACAATAAAATATGACAGTTTTTTGAATATGAAGACTTTTTATATTCTTATTACATACTATTGGTAAAGTTTAAAAGTATAGCTTGCTATGATTAGATGGTTATTCTCACACTTTTCTCCCACGTAGACTGTTGGGATTTAAGTCTTAAACTGTTTTCGACAAGATAGATCAATCAACGCCAATCACGTGATTTTTAAGCGAACGTTCACCTCAAGGAGAGGAAATAGGATTAAACTGTCAATGGTAAAGATACGACTTCCTCCTGTAAATCTTTAGTAATAGATACTTACTTGATCATAGAAAGAAAAAGTTGAGGTGAAAATTTTAAAGTCTGTTTTTTAAATAACTTTATAAAAATGCGGCTTTTAACATATTTCTTGCAAATGAACAGAAATTAGATTTGATTCCTAATTTAAGCCGAAAAAAAAACAAATTATATATACGAAAATAAAAATTGGTAAATTTATTATAAATCCATATTCTGTACTATAAAAATCGCAATTTTTCAAATATTCAATAATATCCAAATATAAAGTGTACTAAATTAAAGTTTCAATTTTGTACATTTTAGCGACCTGAATATTTGATTAATCCTAAAAACCTAAAGTTTTAACCTTTTTAAATATTTGTATTTTTGTTTTTAGACATTCACATTGTGCATGAATTGCAGGTGCGCAACACTCATATTGGGTTTTATAATAATTTTTATATGAATTTTCTTATCTAGTATGAATTTATCTTTACAAAACAAGTAAGCAAATGCATATATAAATATTGAACAGAAGAAAATAAAGAGAAACTTTATTAATTTTATAATATAAAAATTGTTTAGTAAGTAAAAATGCAAAATATGAAACAGGACTAATATATTTTTAAAAAATTGAAAACCGATTTGAATATTTTTGAGAGAAAAAATTAGTGGATTATAACTAAATTTTTAAAGCTGTTTTTCGTAGTTTTCGTAGCTTTGTAAATGAATTTTATATGCCTTTGTAGTTTAAGTAGATCTAGAGATAATTAACTTCCTAGTTAATCATTTTTAGATCTATAGAATTAAATAGATCATATTTAAATAATTACGGTTTACATCAGGACAAAATTTATAAGTTTTTAAATATAATCATTTTATTCTAACATTAATTTAATTGCCATAAAATAACATTTACATTTCTTTCAAGTTATTTTCTTGAAGAAAATTTCCGTCCACAAACAACCTATAGTAAACCGTCCTAAATAAAATAGAAACTAAATATGTTTTGTAACATAAACCTATTCAAACTTTTTTTATCAGGTTTTTTTTTATCTTTCTTCGCTACTATAAATTAGCATTTCCTCTAGATCAGGTTCGACCGTGGTATCTTTTTTTCCTCCTATAAGAATAACTATCACTTGCTTAATTTCGAGAAAACTTTATCTACTGGTCCTTATCAAATGAGTGAAATGCCAAGTACTTAATTTGTCGATAATCTTGACACCGACAACTGGGGTTATCAACTGAAGATTTCCGAACGGAAACACTGTTTTTATACAGTTGTACATATATTTCTTCTCTAAGTTCTTTTCTAGGAAAGTAAAACTTTTCTATGCACTTCCTGTCTTCTTGGTGTAATTCAATAGTCCTAAGTTCAACACCGAACCAACGTGTATACAGTGTCAGCGTTTTCTTTCACTAATTTGGACTAATCTATCAATTCGATTTACTGCACAATTGGAATATTTTTTAATTTTCTTTTTTTCTCTATTTGATGATAAAAATTTCTACACATAAACTAGTGATAAAAACTCCAGAACCTTGAAAATTAATCGTTTAACGACCACGTTGTTTTTGCAGATATTATGTTTACAGTTCTTTTTTTCTTTCTTTACTTTGCTTCGCCAGTAAAAAATGAAAGATAAAAAATACAGAAAAAATAAAAACAAGCATTATATTTTGTTTTACATTTGTTACATTTCAAAACTTTATCCTGGATATTTACACTTTATATGTTACGGTTCGTTAACTAAAGCAACGTAAACACGAGTGATGATCTAAAAAGAAAAGTTGAAAAAGAATGGCAATGCATTTATATAAATATATTTTTAAACAATTTAAACTAAAGTATATGTAAATAAATTCATTTTGAATGCTAAAAATTTTGTCATGTTAAAAACTAATTATGTTTTTGCATAATATCTTTTATAAAATATAAAGAATGTTATATCAACATAATAATCTGATATAATACATTATATTATCTGTATTATATAATAATATCAATATATCAGTATTATACTGTATTATAATTATATGCATATATCAGAGATTATTACACTGATATAACATTCTTTAATAACATAACACGTTATTTATGCATATAATTTTTAACATAATATCAAATTTGTCTAATGCAATGTAAATTACAGTATTTTGAAATTTATAAATTATAATTATCATTATAATTTATAAATTTATAAATTATAATGATAATTCAAGTGTATTTTAAGCACGAAGACAATTTAATTTAATCTCACCCTTACATTGAGATATGTGTACTGTACATTAGTTAAATTTCTCTGATTCATATGTTAATTTTTCCTGAGAGTTCTCTGCGCATAAAATATAGAAATAATATATACATAATGGACTAATTTTGTAATTTAAAGAATTCTTTAAGAGTAAAAATTTATCTCTTGATTTTAATTAGTGCCACATCCTATTATCGAATTATAAATATAACATAGTGATGATATTAAATTGTCTTCGTTATTAAAATTCACTTAATAGACTTGAATGATTATTAAAACTTATAAATTTTTAAAAGGATTTTCTTTTAGTTTGTGTTAGATCAATTGGATGTTATGTTAACATTTAATTTATTTTATTTAATACAAATATACTTAATTACACACAGATAGAATATCATAATATTTCATGTATGCAGGGCCGGCCGTTCATATAGGCGAACTAGGGCGCTTGAATTCGGAGGCGGAATGGCGAAATACATGCATAAATTACAATAAATAATGAAAAAATAAATGTTTTTTTATCACAATCCTTTCTCACGTGGTGACCCGTGAGTCGCCATTTTGAAAGTAGCGCCGTAGTCTCACGATCGCGATATTGCGTGCTGCATATTGAATAAAGATTAGATACTCTTGGGGCGACGTCAAAGTCATTTGCCTAGGGCGCTGAGTTTGCTCGGGCCGGCAGTGTATGTATGATATAGTATATTTGTATTGAATATCTGAAAAAAGGGATTAAAGGCTTATTGTTAATTAATTTATTTTATTATTCTGAATGATACATGAAATTAAAGCGATATGTATATATATAGGCATATATATTTTACTTTAATTTTTTATTTTATATAAAAACATGGAAGGACTTTTCTTATATAAGATAGGAAATTAATAGATGGGAACTATTCAGTTTCAATTTGGAATCCTAAATTAAAATTGAATAGTTAATTATACATTTATCATATCTTAAAATTTTAATTAATGTTGTTTATAAAGTCTATATACTGTATATAAATCTTATAGTCTACTACTATATTTCAAGACTGGAATTTATTAAACTTAAAATTTGAACTTTAGTACCTCCTTTATACATTATTTATACTATTTTATTTATAGCACATATGAAGAAACATAAGCATTATGTTTACGTAACTCTATATAAGTAAATAAGTGTAAATTAAATATTCGAATACAGACATACCTCGCTAATACAGCGGGTTAGGTTACACACTACTGGAGTAAAGCGAATATTGTCCTAATGCAAATCAGTTTCCTTTTCCTTACTTGCCAGTGCACATAAAAGCCTAAGAACATATTTACACTATCATTTATTAAGTTTGCATTAGTGCTAGGCTTAAAAAGATTCAAAAGTAAAAATAAAAAATAAAAAATTCTCATAAACACTCCTTAGTGCAAGGCAAGAGCCGGAAAAAATAAAAAGCAAGCGAGGTACGTCTTTATATGAATCAAAATTTCAGAAAATATATTGTTATACTTGCTGGAATATTTTATTACGTATTTTAAATAAAATTTGAATAATAATAAAGTATTCAATTATGCAGATAGCGAAAGTTAGTTTTCATAATTTCTATAGTTTTCCGTAGAGTGATCCAAAAATAATGATGTAAGACAAAGCAATATCATTTCACATCGAAAAAATGCAATATGTAGACCTATAAAATATAAATACTTTTTTCATTTGAACCTTCTCTATCGAGATAATAGAGAAAACGCGAACATCTTACCGAGTACTTGTGATATTAAACTTTGTAAATGCTTATTTCAGTTATCTGAGGCGGTATCCTGAATATCCGAGAAACGTGAAAATATTCCCTAGCGAAAATCTAATGAGCTTTCATTGTTTTAAAAATTTATAATTTATATTTATATTATTTGATTAATGTTTCCCTTATATTTCTAATATTACCATTAAATTTTTAACTATCACTACCACATTTTAGTATTTGCACTTATTTACATCATACAGTAGTCTAATACTTAAATATCGTTGAGAAGACACGCAAGAACGTTAAACTAACTTTTAAACATATTTTTTAATTTAGATTATTTTTTTCTTTGTTTTTT